GTGCACCGGACGCGTATTCACGTTTACATCTGCGTAAACTTGGGGGTGGGGGAGTTAAACATTTTGGGGACGCAGAAAAAAAATGCCGTCCCACCAATGCTTGCCGTCCGCCCGTTGTAAAAAAACGGACGGACGGCAAGTGGTTAAAATGGATTTCACATTCACAACTAAACATTGATTAATAATTCATACAAATGTTTTAATGGATTTCTATATTTATCCAAAAATAAGTACATACAAATAACGGAAAATTGTATACTTACCTGTCGGTAATTTTTCTTTCCTGATGCCAATACATGATAGCATACAAATGGGTATGGCTCCGCCTCCGGCCCAATCACAGGACCAGTTATATTATAAATTAAAGCACGCCTCCCAAGGTAGCCATTCTTGTAACAAGTACTCAATGCGAATGCCATATTACACGCCGCCTGGCTTCCTGATTAGCCGGGAAGCTGTCTCCATGCTCCCTCTTCACTAGGTGACAAGAAAGCATGGAGGCGGCTTTCTGGCCAATCAGGAAACCAGGGGGTGGTCATAACTCACCCCCTGGCTTCCTGATTGGTCAGGAAACTGACCAATCAAGAAGCCAGGTGATGATTCATTACCTGCCCCCCAGCTTCCTGATTGTCTGGGAAGCCAGCTGCAAGCTACCTTGTCACCAGGTGAGGGGGAAGCATGGAGCGGCTCTCTGGCTAATCATGAAGACCGGGGGCCGGTAATGACTCGACGCCCGGCTTCCTGATTAGCCAGCTTCCCGACCAACCTGGAAACTGGGCAGTGAGTCATTACACGCTGCTTGGCTTCCTGATTGGCCAGGAAGCCAGCTTCATGGTGACGAGGGAGCATGGACCCAGCTTCTCGGCCAATCAGGAAGCAAAGCAGCGTGTAATGATTCGCTGCCTGGCTTCCAGATACTGGACATTGCAGTATCAGGATAGGCATTGGGAGCATTTGGGCAAGTAATAGTATCGGTATCGGTGCATCCCTAATAAATTTATTATAGCGTATTAAAAATTGATCAGTATACCAGGGGGAAAGAAAAAGGAAATATTTTTTTTAAATGAAATAACATAGGTGAGCTATGTTTAGTTGTTCTTATAGTGTATGTAGCTAGACTTTTTAGAGAGGTCATACATCTCACTTCTACTGTTTCTGATCATTAAATGCACAGATAAATAGATTGTGATGTATCAAATCCAAGATAATAAAAAACCAAACAAAAGATATAAAGTTATACACCAAACCTAAACATACAACTGAGAGTATAGGGAACTGATTAAAATTAAAGAATGATGCTAACTTCTAGTTCTTCACCTGAAATCTCCAGGATGTCAGAGTTTTGAGAATTGGTGTAACTAAGTTTAAGAAAATTAAGAAAGCCTGCAATTTGAGTAATGAAAACTGTGCACATGTATACATCATCACTGCACATGTACATTACCACAATAGACACAAATCACTTAAAAAGGTGAACATGGACTTTAAACTAAACAAAATAAAACAAACATGACTGGCTCTCTAACAAATAAAGCGCCCATGCACAAAGTCAAATGGTATACCAAAATGCCCTGTATTCTATGTTGTTGTAAGAAAGAAGGCAGGTTATGTACTGGCACGTACCATGGGAATCCCTATTCCAAGCATTGCTCCCCCCTACTTCATGGACCATTAGCTCTCCCTGAGTATCGGTGTATCTCTACCTTTACCTCAATAGAGGACTACAATTCCCAGCAATATATTATACAGCAATGCAGAATAGCAACCAGCTATAGAGGACTACAAATCCCAGAAACACATTATACAACAGTACAGAATACTACCAGCTTTAGAGGACTACAAATCCCAGCAATACATTTCACAGCAATGCAAAATGCCATAAGGTCTATGAATTCCAGCAATACAGAATAGTATATGAATTTGCAACATACTCTGTGCTGCCGCTCTGCTCCGGGGTGCCGGCCTGGTGTCTTGGATGGAGGGTCCCAACAGAGGCAGATGCAGAAAGTCTCAGCAGGGGCAGATGCAAACGGTCTAAGTAGGGGCAGATGCAGAGGGCCTAACAGAGAAGATGTGGAGGATCAGCAGGGGCAGATTTGGAGGATCAGCAGGGGCAAATGTGGAGGATCAGCAGTGGCAGATGTGGAGGATAAGCATGGGCAAATGTGGAGAATCAGAGGGGCAGATGGGGAGTATCAGAGGGGCAGATGAGGAGCATCAGAGGTGCAGATGCAGAGCATTAGAGGGGCAGATGCGGAGCATCAGAGGGGCAAAAGCGGAGGATAAGAGGGGCAGATGCGGAGGATGAGATGTGGAGGATCAGAGGGCCATATTCTGAGGATCAGAGGGGCAGAAGCTATTGTATATATAGAGAATATATACAATAACTCACAGTCACATATTAATATATGATACACAGTTGTTTTTGAGGTGACACAGACAATTTATTCACCCATTTCTTTATGTCACATACCAAGCGCAGCAGTGGCTACGACACCTCCGGGGGCTGCGACGTACATTAACGCGGCAACTACAGGTTGCTCAACAACGACAGAAGGCACAAGCAAGGTACGGAACCCCCAAGGTACGAGGATGGAGACAATGTGTGGCTGTCCACATAGCACCTCTGGCTGTCCTGTCCCTTCAAGAAGTTGGGTCCCCGCTACATCGGTCCCTTCACGATGACAAGAATGATCAACGCGGTTGTCGCGAAGCTCCAGTTACCCGCGTCCCTTGGCATCCACCCAGTGTTCCTTTGGGATTTACTTTAAGTGCTATTGTGCAAAATGTTAAGAATTCTTTAGCACAAAAAACTTAGGATCAATATTGTTTCACATAGCATGAGTGGTGCCAGTTTTATGACTGTCTGGTTTTTATTTCATTCAGTGTTCTGAAGAATTTATTTTTCATCTGTTTTCTGATTGAAAAATCCTTCTCCCATTCTCATGTTGTTAAAGTGTTAGCTGGTGTATCCTTTTTTCTTCAGCTTCATATAATATGCCTCCTTGCAGCAGTTACTTTTCTGTGAAACAAATGTTAAAAGGTTACTCGTGATGGAGACTTTTTACACTGGATGTTCTTTCTATGCTTTATTTTGCTACTGGTTCTGTTTCTAGTGCAGTTTTGCAGACGGCTTTTGTTTTATCATTCTTTGCCGCTCTGCGCATATCTGAGCTAATGTCAGAGCACAATGAAAACCAGACAAGCAAAAGGTGCTAGTTAAAATATTTATAAAGAACAGTAACCACAGGATCAAGCAGATTCATAAACCAGAACGAGCGAGAGTCAGGAGTCGGAGTGGGTAGTCGTCCAAGCCAGGTCAGGAACACAGAGATCAGCGTCGTCAGAACAAGCCAGGAGCAGGAGCCAGGAAATCAGCGTTGTCAGGAACATGCCAGGAGCAGGAGCCAGAGAAGAACATCAGCCAGGATCAGGTCATACACGGAATTAGGATACTCAGAGCAGCAGGAAAGCACTAGCAGGAAGACCACGCAAGGACAAGGTCAGACTGGACTGAGTGGTATATATATATATATGGTGAGTGGGGTGACCGGAAACTCCCATCTGACTCACTCAGATGATGCTCTCCTATCTGACCATAAGAGGGAGCCACGGGAGTAGTGAGCAATGTTCCAGAGTCTGATTGAGCAAGGAAGGAACAGCTGAGTGAAATGGCAGCCAAGCCAGCATGCTGCAAACCAGTAAAGTCAGGGTGGAACCCTGACAGTACCCTCCCCTCAACGACCCCCTCCCCGTGGAGAGGGACCTGGTTTAGAGGGAAAACTAGTTCAACAGAGCGGCAGCGTGAACATCTTCAGATGCCACCCAAGAGCGTTCCTCTGGACCATAGCCTTTCCAATGAACCAAATACTGCAAATGACCCCTAGACACACGGGAATCAATTATACTGCAAATAACATACTCCTCCTGGTCATTGACTATGACGGGTCTAGGACGAACAGTAGAAGAAGTGAAGCGATTACAGATTAGTGGCTTAAGGAGTGAGACATGAAAAACATTGGGAATGCGCATGGACTTAGGGAGGTCTAGAGCGTAAGCTACCGGATTGATCTTGCGAAGGATACGATATATTCCAACGTAACGGGGAGCCAGCTTGTTGGCGGGAACCCGGAGGCGCAAATTGCGAGAGGACAGCCAAACCCTCTCCCCGACTTGGTAGGATGGAGCGGGCATATGTCTGCGATCAGCCTGGTGCTTCTGGTCTCGAGCTGCACGTTGAAGACACTCCTGAACCTGTACCCATGTGGAGCTTAAATCTTGAAGGTGGTCCTCCAGAGCCGGTAACCTTTATCAAAAATATCATGCTGGATATCTACTGTATACTGGACTGGTAATGTGTTAGGAACAAAAGGATGCTGCATCGTTTGATGAAAATGAAAAATTATCATTTACATCAAAAAAAGGGCTGAATTCAAAGACACCCCAAAAATCAAAGTGAACAAATGATGCAGCAGGTTAGTCCATTGTGCTGAAATTTCATTGCAGTAACTCAAAATGGTACTCATTAAAGTTTGTATGGCCCCCACGTGCTTGTATGGATGCCGGACAACAGTGGGGCATGTTCCTAATGAGACGATGAATGGTGTCCTGGGGTATCTCTTCCCAGATCTGGACCAGGGCATCACTGAGCTCCTGAACAGACTGAGGTGCAACCTGGTGGCTTCGGATGGACCGAGACATAATGTCCCAGAGGTGTTCTATTGGATTCAGGTCAGGCAAGCGTGGGGGCCATTTAATTGTATCAATTCCTTCATCCTCAAGGAACTGGCTGAATACTCTCACCACATGAGGCTGGGCATTGTCATGCACCAGGAGGAATCCAGGACCACTGCACCAGCGTAGGGTCTGACAATGGGTCCAAGGATTTCATCCCGAAACCTAATGGCATTCAGGGTGCCATTGTCTAACCTGTAGAGGTCTGTGCATCCCTCCATGGATATGCCTCCCCACATCATCACTGACCCACCACCAAACCGGTCATGCTGAATGATGTTACAGACAGCATAATGTTCTCCACAGCTTCTCCAGACCCTTTCATGTCTGTCAAAAGTGCTCAGGGTGAACCTGCTCTCATCTGTGAAAAGCACAGGGCACCAGCGTCCGAGCCTGCCAATTCTGGGGTTCAATGACAAATGCCAATCGACCTCCACGGTGCTGGGCAGTGAGCACAGGGCCCACTAGACAACATCGGGCCCTCAGGGCACCCTCATGAAGTCTGTTTCTGATTGTTTGGTCAGAGACATTCACACCAGTGGCCTTCTGGAGGTCATTTTGTTGGGCTCTGGTATTGTTCATCCTGTTCCTCCTTACACAAAGGAGCAAATACCTGTCCTGCTGATAGGTTAAGGAACTTCTACAGCCCTGTCCAGCTCTCCTAGAGTAACTGCCTGTGTCCTGGAATCTCCTCCATGCTCTTGAGACTGTGCTGGGAGACACAGCAAACCTTTTGGCAATGGCACGTATTGATGTGCCATCCTGGAGGAGTTGGCATGTCTGTGCAAACTCTATAGGGTCCAGGTATCGCCTCATGCTACCAGTAGTGACACTGACTCTAGCTAAATGCAAAATTAGTGAAAAACAGTCAGAAAAGATGAGTAGGGAAAAAAATGTCAGTGGCCTCCACCTGTAAAACCATTCCTGTTTTGGAGGTCTTCTCATTGTTGCCCATCTAGTGCACATGTTGTTAATTTAATTAACACCAAAGCAGCTGAAACTGATTAACAACCCCCTCTGCTACTTAACTAACCTGATCAATATCCCAGGAGTTTAATTGACTTGATGCTATACTCTCATTAAAAAAGTGTTCCTTTATTTTTTTTGAGCAGTGTATACTAAATGTTATAATAGAATGAGATGGAATAAGAAATGGGCAATGTAATGCGATACATGAAGAAAATATTATGTAGCAGATTATATCCGAAAGTTGCTTTTGTTGGATATGCTACTAACATTTTATGTTACATTCTTTAAATAAAGAATGTATAAAAAAACGAATATTCTAAAAATGTATTAAATTATTATATTAAACAAAGGAAAACATTTGTTTTAAAAATATTTTAAAATGTAAACTTGACCACTAAAGATTTCTGATCTTTGTGCAGAGCTTGTCATAAAGGCATAAAGTAGAAGCAATTTACATCAATTGCAGCCCAGCAGTGAATAATGAAGTTGCTGTCACATGATTTGATTGGGACTGTTCCTAATAAAATCATTTGTTTTCCTTTCCTCTAGGCGTCTTATTTTTCATCAATATCAAGGCAACAGGAGTTTGAAGTGACAACGAAATCTGTGATTCCTCTGTATTCCATCACATATTTTATTACCACATTCTTTTCTATTATATCCTGTATAAGGTAAGATTATGTAGGCACAACACTAACAGAGATTCTTGTACCAGATTTTAAAGATTTTACTATTACTCTACACTGAGATATTTTACAATAGTAATTATACAAGAAAACATTTTCTGACATGTTACATTGCACATTTGATAAATGAAAACAATGATGGCAGTAATATTTAAAATAATCAAAACAATACTAGAAGCTGCATTCCCTCCATGCTTGTGGTTCAGAAACATCTGTGCAGAAGCTGGGTGACCCCACTACTACCTAGACAATCAGTACATGGGGTCAGTCACCTGCACTTCCCTCCAGTCTGCTAATTAGACAATGATGGAGCAACCCCACAATGAATGGAGACGGCTGACTCAAATGTGAATGCTGTGTTTATTCCAAACACCCAATTGTTCTAATGAGAAGCTCAATGTTTTAATTCATTGGATGTTTGAAGCATTTACAGGTTCTCCATACTCCATCTTTAGTAAATGACCCTCACACCTGGGTCCAGGTATGTAGGATATGCTCCAATTAAGATAGACTTCAGGTACTTACATTAGCAGATTTCAAAAATAGAGGTTTTAATAAAGACATAACTTGTGTGACAACTAAAACTAAATCTTCAGCTAGACTTCTGCTTTAAAAATAAAACCTTAGTCCTGAAATTGTAAAGTTAGAAACACATTTCCTTTGCTGAAATCTTGTATTTCTAATTCTTTATAGGTGTGACTGTGTGAGGAATAAAACCTGGGTGGCCTCTTTTGGAGTCATCTCTGCTGGATTAGCTGTACTTTCTAGCTTTGGTCTGTTATTATTATGTGGAGTGCCTTTTGATGTCACAGTAGCAAATGCTCTATTTCTTATTTTAGGTAAGTTTCAAACATATTTGTACCTCAAAAAATCATTATTAGTCAGCAGACAGGTGTATTCATATGTGGGGGAATGTGTGGGTACCTTCAGGAGCACTGAACACAGGCAACAAAAACATGTTGAACAGACAGGGTAACCCCTCTAAAAAGCAACCACCATTTCCCTTTTTATTAATTTTATTTTATTTACCAAATGAAACCGCTAAATTACTCATCCACTCCCTTGTTATCTCCTGTCTTGACTATTGCAACTCCCTTCTCATTGGCCTTCCACTACACAGGCTATCCCCCCTTCAGTCTATCATGAATGCAGCTGCTAGACTCATCCACCTGACCAACCGTTCAGTGTCTGCAACCCTCTGCCATTTCCTGCACTGGCTTCCAATAGCCCAATCACTTATAAAACCATCCACAATTCTGCCCCCAGCCACTGGCTATATCTCAAACCTTGTCTCAAAATATCACCCTAACCGTCCCCTCCGCTCCTCCGAAGACCTCCTGCTTTCCAGCTCCCTTGAGTCTCTCCCATCGTCTGGAACTCTTTTCCCCAACCTGTCCGTCTATCTCCCACCTTGACTGCCTTTAGGTGATCCCTAAAGACTCATCTCTTCAGGGAAGCCTATCCCACCACAACCTAACCACTGAACCATCACATTCTCAAACAATTAATCCACACACAGCTACCTCCTCATATATCACTGGCCCCTCCCTTTTAGATTGCAAGCCCTCAGGGGCAGGGCCCTCCTTACCATCTTGTCTTGAATTGTATTGTGATTGTAATGTTGGCGATATATAAATCCTGTATAATAATAATAATTAAGATATTGTTTTCTTCAGTCAAGCTATTTTATCCCCCAAATGTATCCCAAATTTATTGCCCAACAATTTCACCACACAGGTGATCTGCTCCCCCCAGTCCGACAGACACACAGACTGGTTCCAGGGAGGGGCCCTCCTGACTCCTGCAGAGAACTCCTCTGTCACCAAGGTGGGACCACTCACTTAGCAGCCTGGGATATCTTATGGAGGCCCTAATGAGCCAGCTACCTCTAGGCCTCCAGCACTCTCAACACTTCCCCCTAGAGTAAGAACCTCACCACTACACCTATAACTGGCCCCTACAAATCTGCCATCCTGGCTATACCCAGACATCTCCATCTGCCTGCTGCCACAATATATGTGTATATATATATATATATATGAAGTTGCTGTCACATGATTTGATTGGGACTGTTCCTAATAAAATCATTTGTTTTCCTTTCCTTTTGGCGTCTTATTTTTCATCAATATCAAGGCAACAGGAGTTTGAAGTGACAACGAAATCTGTGATTCCTCTGTATTCCATCACATATTTTATTACCACATTCTTTTCTATTATATCCTGTATAAGGTAAGATTATGTAGGCACAACACTAACAGAGATTCTTGTACCAGATTTTAAAGATTTTACTATTACTCTACACTGAGATATTTTACAATAGTAATTATACAAGAAAACATTTTCTGACATGTTACATTGCACATTTGATATATATACACTGAGTTGCCAGATTATTATGACCGCCCCATCAGTACTTCGTTGGGCCACGGGATAACTCCACAAGATTACTTAGTTGGACCGCCTCGTGACTCCACGAGATGTTGAAAGGTGATGCGAGGAATCTGACACTGCACTGTTGCCCTTCTGTTGTCTTGTACCAGTCTTGCCACTCTCCGTTCTGCCCTAACATTGACTAGTCGCTGACGGCTACAATTTGCACGTTCAGACCCAGATTTTCGGCTGACAGTCCAGTCTTTAAACACTTTAACAACAGCTGCTCTTGAACATTTAACGAATTCTGCTGTTTTGCTGATACTCGCTCCATGGCTCGGGCCGCCAACAATCATCCCACATTCAAAGGCTGTAGCTGACAGTCCAGTCTTTAAACACTTTAACAATGAGCCCCTCTTGAACATTTAACGAATTCTGCTGTTTTGCTGATACTCGCTCCATGGCTCGGGCCAACAATCATCCCACGTTCAAAGGCTTTTAAATCGCGTTGTTTACCCATATCTTCAGAATAAAATCGCTTCTACTGTTGTGGTAAACAACCTGCTTCCCTATTTATAATGGTCTGGCCCTCTAGCAACTTCAGTGCAAAATTATAGCTAATTATAGCTAATTTGCCTACAAACGTCAGGTGGTCATAATAAACTGGCTACTCAGTGTATACAGTATATACACACGATATTGCCAAAGGTATTGGGACGCCTGCCTTTACACACACATGAACATTAATGGCATCCCAGTCTTAGTCCGTAGAATTAAATAATGAGTTGGCCCATGCTTTGCAGCTATAACAGCTTCAACTCTTCTGGGAAGGCGTCCACAAGGTTTAGGAGTGTGTCTTTGGGAATGTTTGACCATCCTTCTAGAAGCGCATTTGTGAGGTCAGGTACTGATGTTAGACGAGAAGGCCTGGCTCGCAGTCTCCGCTCTAATTCATCCCAAATGTGTTCTATCAGGTTGAGAAGTGGATGCTAAACTGACTCCATGGGATCAATTAAACCTAAACTATGATTTTCCTCTACTGAAGCTCCTCCCTCATCTGCACTGCAGGAGCATCTGGGTCATTGTGGTGATATTCGTCGCACCAAAATGGTCCAGATGGGTAAGGTACTCTGACCTCATCAGACTACTTGCAGACTCTCAATGAGATCCCAGACTCTCTGGATCTCTTGAACCAAGGACCAGTTTACCACTCTGCTTCATAGTCACTGGATTTAATGGTATGGCTGTTAAAGCCCCGGTCTTAACTGATAGGGATCTAAATCTGTTATTTCCATGCTCCTGAAAGCTAGGAAATCTACTTCTCGCAAGGTATACCATCGTACCTGGAAAGCATACTGGTGTGAGGCAAGGAAATTTCATCCCAGAAAATACTCTGTGGGCCAAATCCTGACCTTTCTTCAGTCTGGTCTGAATCAAGATTTGGCCTTGTGTATTATCAAGAGGCAGGCAATTCTATTCCAACGGCTCTATGCCTCTCATTCCTTAGTAAAAACCTTTGCACAGGGTTTTGCTCACACAGCTCCCCCTGTATATCAACCTGTGACTCTATGCAGAGGCGGCTCTAGAGTTTGTGAGGCCTTAGGCGAAACCTAAACATGAGGCCCCGCTCAGGCCTGTGGGGTCTCACGAGGGCTCAGTGGGGTCTCACGAGGGCTCAGTGGGGTCTCACGAGGGCTCTGTGGGGTCTCACGAGGGCTCTGTGGGGTCTTACGAGGGCTCTGTGGGGTTAACCAGGCTGGTGAGACCCACAGAGCCCCAGTAAGACCCCCAAAGAGCCCTGGTGAGACCCCACAGAGCCCTGAATAACACAGGGCTCTGTAGGGTCTCACCAGGGCTCTGTGGGGTCTCATCAGCCTGGTAAGACCCCTCAGAGCCCCGGTGAGACCCCCACATAGGCCTGGTTAAACCAGGGCTCTGTAGGGTCTCACCAGCCTGATTATACCCCTCAGAGCCCTAGTGAGACCCCACAGAGCCCTAGTTAAACCAGAGCTCTGTAGGGTCTCACCAGGGCTCCTATGGATCTCACCCGCCTGGTTAGACCCCACAGAGCCCTGGCGAGACCCCAAAGAGCCCTGGTGGGACCCTACAGAGCCCTGGTTGAACCAGGGCTCTGTAGGGTCTCGCCAACCCAAGGGCTCTGTAGGGTCTCACCAGGGCTCTGTGGGGTTTAACCAGGAATAGTGAGAACCCACAGAGCCCTACTTTAACCAGGGTTCTGTGGGGTCTCACCAGGGCTCTGTGTGGTTTAACCAGGAATAGTGAGAACCCACAGAGAACCAGGCTGGTGGGACCCCAGAGAGCCTTGGTGAGACCCCTCAGAGCCCTGTTGAGACCCCACAGATCCTTGGTTAAACCAGGGCTCTGTAGGGGTTACCAGGGCTCTGTGGGGGTCTAACCAGCTTGGTTAAACCCCACAGAGCCCTGGTGAGATACCACAGGGCTCTCTATGGTCTCCCGGGGCTTTGCTGGGTCTCACCAGGGCTCTGTGGGGTTTATCCAGGGCTGGCGAGACTCTAAAGAGCCCAGGGGAGACTCCAAAGTGCCCAGTTGAGACGCCACAGAACTCTGGTTAAACCAGGGCTCTGTAGGGTCTCACCAGCACCAGGGCTCCGAAGGGTCTCACCAGGGCTCTATGGGGTCCCACCATGGCTATGTGCGGTTTCACCAGCCTGGTGAGACCCCTCAGGCCCCTGGTGAGACGCCAAAGAGCCCTGGTGAGACCCCACATTAAAGAGCCGCCTCTGACTCTATGGGATATGAACCTGGTTTTGTTAGCTCTTTAAAAACGGATTATTTCAGCCTATAGGAGCTATATCTCAGTTGACTCCGCTATGTGAGTTTCTGAGTTGGTGGCCCTCTCGTGTAAAGAATTTTTTTTTGTTCCACACACAAACACAAGGTTGTCCTGAGGCCTAGGGCCTTGTTTCTTTCTAAGATGTACAACAAAAAAAAAAGGGGGACAGATTGGAGTTACGCTGAAACAAATAATAAATTATAATATGCTATACCAGTCTCCAGGGTTTCAACAATAATAATCAAAACATACGGTGTCCCCAAAAGAATAGAAATCCCTTACTCTGAGCCGGTTCAATAGACAGGTAGATAATACAAGATTTGACAGTTAGAATATTTAATCATAGAAAAGGTTTTAACATTACAACCACAACAAAACATTTAAAATCAATTAAAAAACTTCCCTAAGGTAACAAATATAAGAATCATGGGTGATCTACAATCCAACTAAAGTGATACTATGGAGTAGCCACCTACTATACAGATATCTCATGTGTGGGTACAATGTATCCTGGGTTACTCACAGCTCATGTTGTGTGCAGGGAAGTTTGAATAGCACACATAACCCTGACGCGTTTCCTCCCCGCTCAGGGGCTTCTTCAGAGGGGTGCTCAACAAGGGAAAAAGGCAGGGGCACTTGAATTTCCAGCCCAGCCTATCTATCCCCATCTCCTGCTCCCAATTACAATTACCTATTGAAGCAAATACATCACCCAGCACTTTGGAACCCGAGCAGGACTGTCTCTCCCTGAGCTCCCTGAGCAACATGAGCTGTGAGTAACCCAGGATACATTGTACCCACACATGAGATATCTGTATAGTAGGTGGCTACTCCATAGTATCACTTTAGTTGGATTGTAGATCACCCATGATTCTTATATTTGTTACCTTAGGGAAGTTTTTTAATTGATTTTAAATGTTTTGTTGTGGTTGTAATGTTAAAACCTTTTCTATGATTAAATATTCTAACTGTCAAATCTTGTATTATCTACCTGTCTATTGAACCGGCTCAGAGTAAGGGATTTCTATTCTTTTGGGGACACCGTATGTTTTGATTCTTTCTAAGATGGTTTCTTCTTTTCACCTTAACCAGGACATTGTACTTAGCTTTGCCCTGCTCCAGATCATCCCAAGGAAAATGTACTCCATTGTTTAGATGTGGTGCAAACTGTACAAGTTTATCTGTCAGTTACAGCTTCCTTCCGACCAAATAACACTCTTTTTAGCATTCCTCTCTCAGCTACAGCTTCCTTCAGACTAAATTATACTCTTTTCAGCGTTCCTTAGGGGTATATACTGTATCACCTATACTGCGCTGTGCCTATACAATGAATATACCAAATAACTTTCTATAAATCTGTGCAAAAAATTGCAAAATTCTTATACATCTAATTAAATCTTCACAATTATTTTCAGTGCAATCATAAGCATTAAACCTTCTAAACAGTGCAAATAGTTAAAAAGTCCAAAGTTTTAAATATATGAAATGTTGCACTGTTTAGAAGGTTTAATGCTAATGATTGCACTAAAAATAATTATGACCATATAATCAGATGTACTGTGTAAGATTTCTGCAATTTTTTGGTATATTCATTGTATAGGCACAGCGCAGTACAGGTGATACAGCATATTTGGGGAAAGTGATTACAGACTTTTGCAGTATTGCAGCTTGCCATCACAAATTATAATTGCACACATCCTAGCACGGTATGATTTGTCTATATAGTTCCTTAGGGACAGTCTGCCTCTTGTTTCACCATTTTAAGGTGGATTAGGCAGCTCATCATTAAAACCTAAGGACAAGCTTTTACCATTTTCTGTCAAGGTACACTACACTAGGTCATTAGGTGCCTCGCAAGCTTTTCAGCATTAGACATCTGTTTCCAAAATTTGCAAGTCTGCCACCTGGTCTTTGCAGGGCTGGTGTTGCCCCTAGGAAAACTAGGCAGACGCCTAGGGCGCACTGCTGCCTAGGGTACTGCCTCGACCACTTGCCTATGGTGCAAAATAGTCTAGCACCAGCACTGGGTCTTTGGTTCTCTAAGTTCTAAACTTTGGTCGTAAGTTCCTTCAGGCAGCTCTTGGAGCTGCAAGTTCTCCCCAGTTTTACTCTGTTGTTTGCGAACATGTTGAGGTCCAACCCCTCAGTTGGACTGCACTAGGATACCCCAGTGTCTCAGAATCCTTCTGACCCTATGTCCCTTAATGGATGATTAAGAAAACAGGATTTTTGACTGTAAAATCCTTTTCATAGGTTTTTTGGAGTTTTGTTGCCAATGTCCAATTCTCCTGAAGGTTGCAGCATAAGACAGTGTTTCAGAATCCTTCTGATCCCAGGCCAGTGATTCAGAAATTACGCTATAGACAGGCAGTTAAGTAACAATTGCAGGCAGAAGTCAGCAATGAATGGCAGGGTATTTCTCTCATGACTTCTTACCTTTAATTGTCCCCAATAATATTGTAATGTAATAGTACTTTTTTTTATAATTAAAATTATATAAAACATGCATTAATCTGTGTGTGTGTGTGTGTGTATGTATTAGGTAACCAATAAAGTGGACAAGAGAATGCCACCTTTAATCAGTGTTGTTTCTGTTTATGGTTTATTGACATATTAATATGCTTTCCCTATAGGTGTTGGAATTGATGACATGTTCATTATGGTTTCCAGTTGGCTAAAGTTATGAGCGGAGTTGAAGAAAGAATGGGCGAGACATATAAAGAAGCTGCGGTCTCTATAACAACCACAACCCTTACAGATGTCCTAGCTTTCTATATAGGGATAATGACTTCTTTTGAGTCAGTGCAATCTTTCTGTATTTACACCGGAACAGCCATATTGTTCTGCTTCCTGTATAACGTCACTTGTTTTGGTGCAGTTTTAGCCCTTAATGGGAGAAGAGAGGAGAGTAACAGGCACTGGTTGGTTTGTAAAAAAGTGCCAGAGAAAAAAGATGACAGCCGTTCCACTTTCTATAATGTGTGTTGTACTGGAGGAAGATTCAATGCAGACACTGGCACAGAGACAGACCATCCCATGACGAATTTCTTCCATAAATATTATGGTCCATTTCTTACCACAATCTGGACCAAGGTCATTGTGTTAGTTCTATATGGTGGATATTTGGCTGTCAGCATATACGGGTGCTTTCAGGTACAGGAAGGAATTGATTTACGGAACTTGGCTACTGACAGCTCCTATGTCCGTTCTTTCTATGACAATGAAGATTTATATTTTAATGACTATGGTCCCAGAGTCATGGTTGTGGTAACAGAGGAAGTCTCATACTGGGATGTGGACATCCGTAAAAAAACTGACAAGTGTATGGAGTCATTTAAATCAATCCCCTATGTCAGTGAAGACCTCTCTGAGTCCTGGTTGAAAGCATACTTGGGGTTTGCTGAATTGATTAAAGTGAATGTAAATGATGAGAAATATTTTGTAGGAAATTTATCAAGATTATTTTTTAAACAAGATGTGGAAATTCAGTCAGCATCTATAATCACTTCTCGTTTCTTCATCCAGACTGTGAATGTTGTGTCTGCCATTGATGAGAAAAACATGCTAATTCAGGTTCGGGACACAGCAAGCAGTTGTGAGGTCCCTGTTCTTGTTTATCATCCGGCATTTATATACTTTGATCAGTATGCTGTAATCATCCAAAACACAATTCAAAATGTTGCTGTAGCTACTCTTGTGATGTTTGTTATTTCATTATTGTTGATCCCAAACCCTCTGTGTTCCATATGGGTGACATTCACCATTGTGTCTATTATAGTGGGAGTCACTGGTTTCATGGCTTTGTGGGATGTTAACTTAGATTCCATATCTATGATCAACCCTGTTTTTTGTATTGGGTTCTCAGTAGATTTCTCAGCCCATATTTCATATGCTTTTGTTTCCAGCAAGAAATCCACAGCTAATGAGAGGGTGAAAGATGCACTGCACTCTCTCGGCTATCCTATAGTGCAGGGCGGTCTCTCCACCATCCTGGGGGTCATAGTACTCTCCACTTCACAGAGCTACATATTCAGAACATTTTTCAAGATTATATTCCTTGTTATTGCCTTCGGAATGCTACATGGGCTGGTCGTTCTTCCAGTGCTCTTAGCATTATTTGGAACTTGTGGCCAAAAGCAAGTTGTCAGAATGGAAATAAATCTGTCACAAATTTAAAATGTCCCACGAAATTCAGATTTACAGCTTTCATTTTATGAATCTACAATACATGATAGAACAACTAGCTATACAAATTGGACTTTTTTTTTCCAGAGCCTGACTGTACATTATTGATTTTTACTCTACATTTGTAAATATTTATTCATATATTCTTCGTGAACACAGTAGTACTTGTACTAACAGTAGTGGAAAAAGTATTAATAAAGGAAAATATATCTCTTTTCATTTTGAATTAAAAGTGTAATTATTGCATACCATACAGTATATAAAGCTTTTAACATAATTTGCCAATGTTTTATTAGCAGTAAAAATACATATTATTACATTTTTTACATTGCCGGACTAATAATGTCTAAAGCCTCATTCATACATATGCAGCTGCCCACCTGTAAAAATAAATAGCAGGCTGAGAGATGCTGTAGTTGTATAGATGTTTTCACACATCTCAGCGTTGTTCGGCCATGGATTGAGATAGCTTCGTGAATGAAAGCTGCACCCAGGAGCAATGATCTATTCTAAACTGCATGTAATAGTATCACATACAATTACAAGCAGACTGACACTTACAGATGTGGCCGCTGTTGCCCGATCATCTAAACGTGAGATTTGGGATTCCTGTCAAAGGATTTGATAGGTTCCTGAAGCAAGAATCCCAAATGGCATACTGTGAACGAGGCTTCAAAGTTCATCTAAATTCTCCTGTCTGACAGTCTAAACAAGTCCCAAATACAGTTACTATCTGATGGTCAAGTCTTATAAAGTAAAGAAAATTTATTTTACCCACTCTATAAATTCAGGAGCAGTGCAGCATCGTTGCCACACAATCATAGGAAGTAGTGCAGATGCATTTATAATTAAGTGCTGCAACATATTTTTTTGATGGGAGGCCAGAGTTCAACTTTAAAATGTCCAAAGTAGGGTCAGAGGAACAAAACAACTCTCATTCAGAAGAAGATACTGCTGTGAATTATGATTGAAGTAGATATATTAGGGGTATATTTAGGGTGTATTCTCATGTATTGCATTCTTTTAGGTGATGTTTTTTAACACACCTATGCTAACTAGATTTTTATTGTGTTAGTTTATTGACCAGGTGACCATCCTGTTTTGTTGATTGTACACAATGGAACAGCTGTAGGGAATTTTGTCAAAACCTGTTTAGTTAACTAACATCAAAGGGGTAGTTAGACCAGCCAATCAGAATCCATTCAGTGTTAGTGAATGGCACTAAACTGTATATGAATAGAGAGCCTAAGGTGGCTGAGAGGAGAGTTCAGAGTCATGAAGAGAGGCACAGAGGTGCATATATAGATTGGAGATATATTCTGGGTAGTTAGAGTGGGTCCTCATGGAACCTTTATCATCTGAGGTCTAGATATTTTACTCTGTATTACTCTGTTGGACTGTTCCTGTTCATCTGTTTCATCGATCCAATTAAACGCTACTCTCTGGAAAATAATTGAGGTTGCCTGGATTTTCACAACGCATATAAATACATATATTTGGGTAGATATATATTTATACTTCCCGACATATAGTACTACACTACAGATACTAAATAAATTGGGGGGACGTGGCCAGCAGCCGTATGTGAGCGGACGTGTGGTGAAGGAGCTCTCCCGCATTTCATCCTGAACGATAACCGCCAGGCTTTTCTGTACCCACCTCTCCTGCGCTGGTCGCTTGCTTAGATTTTCACATACTTTATTTATTAGCATTTGTGATCACATATCCACATTTAGTATATACACATTAGTTTTTATATAGATTGTGTTAATTTAATTGTATTATCACCTTTCACCACATCGAAATCCTGTTTTGTTGATTGTACACAATGGAACAGCTGTAGGGAATTTTGTCAAAACCTGTTTAGTTAACTAACATCAAAGGGGTAGTTAGACCAGCCAATCAGAATCCATTCAGTGTTAGTGAATGGCACTAAACTGTATATGAATAGAGAGCCTAAGGTGGCTGAGAGGAGAGTTCAGAGTCATGAAGAGAGGCACAGAGGTGCATATATAGATTGGAGATATATTCTGGGTAGTTAGAGTGGGTCCTCATGGAACCTTTATCATCTGAGGTCTAGATATTTTACTCTGTATTACTCTGTTGGACTGTTCCTGTTCATCTGTTTCATCGATCCAATTAAACGCTACTCTCTGGAAAATAATTGAGGTTGCCTGGATTTTCACAACGCATATAAATACATATATTTGGGTAGATATATATTTATACTTCCCGACATATAGTACTACACTACAGATACTAAATAAATTGGGGGGACGTGGCCAGCAGCCGTATGTGAGCGGACGTGTGGTGAAGGAGCTCTCCCGCATTTCATCCTGAACGATAACCGCCAGGCTTTTCTGTACCCACCTCTCCTGCGCTGGTCGCTTGCTTAGGTGTTGCTGTCACCTACACTCCTTTTCTGAGAACTTTGCCTTCATATTGTGGCCGGGGGATGTCGAAGAAGAAGGAGGGTAAGGGCCTTCCTCACTTGTTCCAAGATGGCGGCGGCGGCACTCTTCTCACGCTCCCCACCCCTAACAAGCAGATAGGGGATAGGGGCAGAGATACAGCGGCGCGGCTGGAGCGCTTTGTCCGCAACCCTGACACCCCTGCCAAGACACAGAGGCTCTCTTACTCTGCGGACCGGGCACCCCGCAGGGAATTGATGCCGGACACGGCGCACTCATCAGCCTCAGACTCGCACGGGCCGGACGCCATCTTGGATGCAGTGAGTACTACTCCTAAACCCAGTAAGACGTCCTCTCGGCTGTGCAGCTCTGTAACTCCACATTAACCTCTCTCACAGGTGAGGTGCATAGGATGAGAGCTGATATCACCTTTATACGTCATGATTTACAGAAAGTGCGGAAACGCACCTCTGCCCTGGAAAGCAGGGTCAGTGACCTGGAGGACTCTACCTCTCCCCTGACCGCGGAGGTAAAAATGGCATTGCATGACATGTCTGCTAATAAGTTGAAGAATGATGACATTGAGAACCGGTTACGCCGCAATAACATCCGGGGTGTCGGTATACCAGAGCGTGCGGAAGGGGCCAATGCTACTGATTTTATTGAATCCTGGTTGTGTGAAGTCTTTGGGAAAGAGTACCTGTCCCCACTTTTTGCTGTGGAAAGGGCCCACAGGGTCCCCTCTCGCCCCCTGCCACCAGGTAACCCGCCTAGGCCCCTGCTGATCCGGCTGCTCAATTACCGAGATAAGGAGCGTATCCTGCGGAAGGCGCGGGATCTTGGTGAGATCTCTCTGGCCGGCTCCAAGGTTATGCTGTTCCCGGATTTCTCCCAAGAGGTGCAACGGCGCAGAGCGAAATTCCATGAGGTCAAGAAGCGTCTCCAGCAATTGCACCTGCCTTACTCCATGCTTTACCCAGCGAGGCTTCGCGTGGTCGCTAATGGAGAAACACAGTTTTTTTATATTCCCGCACAAGCTTCGTCGTGGCTGGATAAGTACGACCGTCGCCGTGCTTCGACTAACCCCTGAACACTCGGATTAGTCTCCCCCCCCGAGCCTATTGTTTTGATCCGTGGTACGGATGCCTGGATATACCTTCTGTCATGGGTCCTGGAACTCCCCGTCTCTCTATCGTTGGCACCACTGCCAACGCACTGGAAGGAGTCCCCATGGTTTTTTTGTTCCGGGATACCTCCAGTGGGACGGACTGTTGCCGTTTTACCCCGAAGGTTTCCCTGCGTGGACGTTGTTACCACAGCTGTTGGTTTCCGGTTTCAATTTCACCTGATTTTTATTTTTATTTTTCTATTTTTATTTTGTCCCTTACCCATTTTCGACAAGCTTCACTGTGCCCAGCCACATCCTCCAGCTGTTTCCATGCCTGGTCTCTGATGTGTATACTTACATGTAGATGCTCCTTATTGCCATGTGATATGTCTTGCCTATGTCTGAGAGCCTAGTAACGCTGGTCTCCTGGAATGTGAGAGGTCTGGGAGATGCTGCTAAGCGACGCTCTGTTTTTGACTGTGCCCTTCGTGCTAAGCCATCTATCATCTGTCTGCAGGAGACGCATTTGACTAAGGACACTTCTGATGCTTTAAGCAGACGTTTTTGCCAGGCAGTCTATCATTCATGCTACTCCTCTTATTCTAGAGGGGTTTCCATTCTAGTCCATAGAAACCTGCCCTTCTACTGCACACAGATAAAGGTGGACACAGCGGGACGATATGTGTTTATACATTGTAATATCCTAGAGCTAACTTGTGTTATTGCGTCTGTGTACATTCCACCGCCATTCTCCAGTGCTGTGCTGAAAGACTTAGCTCATTTCTTAGCGGATAAGTTACCACTCCCTGTCCTAGTAATAGGAGACTTTAATGGGGTCTTGGACACTAGCTTGGACAGGTTCCCCTCCCGGTTGGACACTGGCACGCCACTCATAACACCCCTCAGCAAGCTCTGCAGGGAGCTGGGGCTGGTGGATTTGTGGCGTCTCTCCCACCCCACAGACTTACAATACACCTGCCATTCTAAGACACATGGCTCTCTCTCGCGGATTGATCTTGCCCTGTGCACTTTGGAAATGTCCATGCTTCCTTGGCGCTTACATCCGTTTTGGCTGACGTTATTCACGGATCACACAGCATTGGAGAGTGACGTTGAGTTTTTCCTGTCTGTAAATATTCCATCTGCGACTGTTGGTGTGGTCTGGGATACGTTGAAGGCGTACCTTAGGGGTACTTTCCTCAAGAACGTTAGTGCTATTAAGTCCAAGACTAAGTGGGACCTGTCTCTGGCCCGTCAACTGGTTGCTGACAGTGAGAGGACCTATGTGGCAGACCCTAAGCCTTGTACGGAGACTGCATGGCTAGCCGCACAAGATTCCCTAAATGCTTTGTTGGAGACGCAGGCCCAAAATAAACTATTTTTTACTAAACGGGTCTTCTGGGCGGAGGGGGATGCGACAGGTAAACTTTTAGCTCAGGTAGCTAGAGCCCAACAACCCTCTAGTCATATCG